TCTGAACTAATGAAAGCATTCTTCTGTACCTCCATCTTACATTCTGTTATTGAGGTCTATTTATTGATTCTCCAAGCATTGTTATTGCCACATAATCTTTATCAAAATCACACTGTGAAGAAAAGCTGTTCTAAAAGAGAAAAGCTACAGATCTGACATTGGTGCAATTTCAAGCATCCTGGGCTATTTGAGTATAGTCTCCATTTAGTATAATTTGACTTTTACAAAACTCAGTTTAGAATTCTTTATATAGTTGTTTCAATTTTAACTCTTTTATCACATGCCATATATTTGCTATTGTGTAAAACTGGGAAGGGGAGTTTGTGGACTTGGGTAACCACACACATATCTGGGATAGAATACAGTGGCTTCTCTGGACTTATAACAAATCCACCATATTGAGAAGGAGCTGGTACATAGTAAGCATTCAATGCATGTTTAAAAAAGCTGTAAAGTTCTTTGTATAAACTTGCCAGTGAGAGTGGAAAAAATATTAATTTAATAACTTTTCAATTAATTTCAAATTTTAGCTCATCTGAAAAGTATTATGAAATGATTCTTTTTACTTGACTTCCCTTGCCATCATTCCTCCGTACTCACATAACTCCTCTAACATAAATCTGTCTTTTTGCCTCATATAATTTTCAAACTAGAAGTTATCAATGCATTTTATAACCTCTACTCTATCAAGTCGTGTCTCTATGAATTCCTCTCTGTCTTATTCACTCTCACTGGACATATGCATTTCAGGTCATTCTTAACCCTTTTCTTTCTTTGAGATGCTAATTAAATTTTTCTCTCTAGAAAAGAAGACCTCTTCAAGGTCTATGAGCAAAAACCATGGAAAGATAAATTAAGAAGAGTAAAGCAAAGAGAAAGCCATAGAAGAGTCAAAAAGGAGGGGAAGACATTGTTAAGTAGTTTTAAGACACTAAGTGCTTCAGAGAAATGGAAGATAAACAACAGTAAGGTACATTTTTTTTAGTTGAGATTTTCCTGATAAATCAAGGAACTGTCCATGACTTCTCTCATGTAAGGATATTCATTGAAAATTTGGTTGCCAGTAAAAAAGAAATTAAAATATTCTCCTGACAAATATTTTTCTGTACCCTTATACTTTAGGCTGTCAACCTGATGTAGTGGTTTGAATGATCACCCTCCTCAAAAGATGTATCCACATCTTAATCCCCAGAACTTTTTAATGAGACTTTATTTGGAAGTTAAAAGGCTTTACATATGTAATTAAGTTAAAGATTTTTTTTTTAAGGAACTTTTTTTGGATTACTCAGGTTGGTTCTAGTTCCAGTTACAAATGTCCTTACAAGACACCGATGATAGGCCATGAACTACAGGGAAAGGCCATGAGAAAAGAGGAACAGACACTGCAGTTACACATCCACAAGTGAGAGAACACATGAATCCAGCAGAAAAAGGAAGAGGCAAGGAAGGACTGTACTCCAGAGCCTTCAGAGAGAATGTGACTTCACTGGCTCAGGGATTTTGGACTTCTGACCTTCAGAACTTTAATAGGATGGATTTTTGCTGTTTTAAGACAACATATGAAATGTCAATTATAAGGAAACCTAGGAAATGAATCAGTAACAAATAATAACAGTGGAAACTATTACTATCATGTGGAAATTGCCATACACTGATAATCACATTTTCTTCCTACCCATATTTTTATTAGAAACATTACCAAATTTTGAGAGGTTTCACCCCTAACACATACAGACACACACACATACACACACACACATGCATTCACACGCACATATATTAGTTGCACATGCAAATACACTAAAAGTAAATAAGCTTCCAAAACAATTGAAGATACAGAGATAGAAAAGACATTTATAATGTAAAATGTAGACATTGCTGTATTGGCTTTGAACCCTTTGATATGTCAAAATACAAAATAGAAACTTGTTGAAAACATTTTGTGCTTTATTACATTTGAAAAATCGCTTGTGAATGATGAGTATGTTCACTAGATGCTGAAGTAAGTCATTTTATATATTTCTGCTTGGAAAAGGACAAGAACATCATCAATGTTATAAAAATGAGTGAGTAAATAGTGCTTGAAATTCCTTTTTGGTTACCAGCTGCTTTTAAAAAGTTGGTATAGTCCTGCTAAATTTGCTAAATGTATATTAAGATTATATTTTTATATTTGAAGAAAATTGCAATTCTTCTTTTTCTCTTTGATGCTATGTACAGGTTCATCCAGAATCAGCTTGGCCCCAGCTGGAAGCAATTAAGAATGTGCAGGAAGAATTAAAACCCTTGGAGATTGTTTTTCTCTCTAATAGATTGCAGCAGAGTTAAGTTGTGAATTGGTCACAGGAGAAAACTTGTCATGGTGACTCATATAAATTACTGAAATTGTTTCAGTTTGGAAGTAAACATTGGTCCCACATTTTACCTTATGATTTCTCATGTAACGAAATATGATTATTTCTACTAAATTGAAATTTTACCTACCATTTATCTGAATAAAAAAATAATGATATTGGAACAGTCCTTTGTTAAAATCTCAAAGCTAGTAACAGGTATAAGGAAAAGAATAGTTTCACTTGTGTCTCTGTATCATGAAATCATGGTTAGAGGCACATTCATAAATAATGAGGTCAGACTTAGGATGTCAGCCTGATTCTCGTATCTCCTGGGCCCACATTCCTATCTTTTAGTTCTTCTGGGGAAAGACAAATCTGCAATCACTCCTGATATACGTAGGTCTATTTGCTTATAAGCTTCCAGAACACATTTTTTCAAACATTAGATAAAGTATTGTTAGAACAGCGTAACGTATTATCTAATACAATTTTCTCATTTAATTAATGGAGAAACTAAAGAGCCTGAGGGTCTCTGAGAGCAGAAGCTGCCAAAGGGAACCAACCTTGTCCAAACTTTACTTCAAGCTACGATCTCATCACGGGTTAACATGGTCGTGAAAACATTTACAGTTACAAAACAGAATTAATCTACTTGCAGGTATGTATGAGAAAAAATATAGAGATAAAATCAAAGATAAAATAGGTAAAAAATACAAAGTTATTTGTGAGATGATGTGGTGATTCAATAAAGTTTTATTTATTTATTTGTTTACTTTTTGCCTGCTGTTTCCCTGGGCTATACTCAATCCTCGGGTACTCTTAGTGAGTAAGACACTATCTGTCAGCCATTCTGTCCTGTGGAAAAGAGGGACGAGAGTGCAGAACTGGAGGATATATCGAGTGTAAATGAATGAAGAGAAATTAGAGAAATAAAGGTATGAGGTTATCCCTAGATAGAAAATAACATCCACAAAATAAGTTCATTTAAATAGAAAGGAGCAGCAAGTTTACAGAAAGTCGCAAGATAGTTTTTATTCCCCGGAGTTAGATCACAGGCACGTGGAAGGAGAAGCTGCAAAGGTAATGGCTAGTCATGATGAGTCTTGCATGCTATCTTAGGAAATGCACTATTCAACTTTAAGTAGTAGGTCGAACTAAAATAATTACGATAAGATAGTAAATTTGCCGCATTAAAGTTTTGACAGTTCATTCCAAATGTAATGATTAAAATGGGTTTGAAAGGACAGGGACACTGTCAGACAAACCTAAAAAGCAAAGCAGAAGAGATGGGTTTAAAGCAAAGTAAAAAATAAAAAATAAGTTATAGATTAAACTGTAAATAATTCAGTGAGGATAGTGAAAGAAAGCAAGGGAAAATATTGAATAATTTACTTTTTTCAAATGTTAAGCAGACAGCACTGTTATCTACTGAAAATCACTCATGAAAAAGAAGACAGGGTATAAGAGATATAAGAGATGGCACATTCAGTACGAGCCTGAATTTTAGGTGCTCTGGGAACATGTAATATTTAGCAGAATTGAAGTATCTAGCACAGGTATGTGTCTGAAGCTCAGAAAATCAGTCAAGGATGGAGATTCAGATTTACAGATCATCATAGTACAATTAGTAGTGAAAAAATCCAAGAAATGAGTTTGATAAAGATGAAAATTGTGATTTGGACTGAATAACATAAGAGTCTTTGGTTAATACTAAAGATTGACAGGAAGGCAAGGACACTAGACTATAAATATGTCATAGGGGCCAATCTGTGACTGAGAAATTGTTGGATGGTGGGAGATGCCTGAGGGGAGCTTGGGTCACAGAATCAATGGAGCAAGTGAAAACAATGATATGTGATCATAAAGGTCAGTGTCACTGAAAAGATTTAATTGGATATAACAAAAATAGTTATTGGTGATTTTCAAGAACATTTTCAATAAGGTAAAACAAGTATAAAACATATTACTGGAAAGTAAATGAATATTTAGCTACAAATGTTGATACTATGCATTCTGAGCCCTCTAGAAGCATATCTAAAATGGTATTAAGTGATTTTAAAATACATATGAACTGGAAGACAAAGGAAATATGCTTGCACATTAAGATATTAATTTTGAAATATGGAAAACATAACGATGAATAACAGCTGACTGCATGTAAATGAACATTTGAAAACATGAATAGCTGGGGTACTAATCAAGAGCACCATAATTTGTTCTGCAGAATCAAGCAAGTGTTAAAAACTGGAGGTTCAAGTTACCTCTAAAAGCCAGGGTTTGAAATAGGCTCAAAAGTAAAAGAGGTGCTGGAAGTCTATTTCCAGGAACATGTAGCTGGAATAGCCCCAAGTACATGCAGCTGGGCAGGTGCCCTTACTTGAGCTCTACAGAAAAATTTTGATTTATTCTCTGCGTATGTTGAATCACAGAGAACTGGAATTAAAGACAACTTAAACAGCTGAGCTCAAATATAAAGGATTCTCCTGGACACCTGAGGAAGAGTTGATTGCTAGAGCTCTGGGTAGAGCTGCTCCGGCTGAATGCTGTCTGCCTCTCCCTTGTATGCCTCCTGTCTTTCACTCAATGAGCATACATGATTGGAGGATTTTTCCCCCTACAGAAAAGTAGAGAATCAAAAATTCTGTTAGAAGAACTTTTACTCACCTTGAACAAAATAATTTCAGGTTCATCATTCAACAAGTAATTCCCATGTTTGTGAAACTTCCTATCAGATATTAGGGTCTACTGACTTTGATGGGACCATCAAGGATTACCAGATATTTGAAAAAAGCCTATAAAATAATAGATACAAATGAAAATCCAAACAGAAAAAATGAATTTAGAAAATGATGAAAATCATAATAGGATATAAGGTTTTCACATAAATTTAAAATTTTCATCATAAAACTAAATGAAAGATAAAATTTGTGCAAAAAAAAGAATATTCAACATATAAGGGAGAAACCAAACCCCTTATAGCACAAATAAAAATAAATAATTAAAATGATGGAAAATAATGTTGAGAAAAATTAGAACAAAAGACAAAAACATTTCTAAGACATAGCAGGGGGAAAAGGCTTAATAAATGGTCAAGCAAATAAACTCGTTAAAAACATTTGCAGAGAAAAAGATAAGTGGGGTGGGGAAGGATATTATAAAGACATCATTTAAGACCTTCTCCCAAAATAGAAAGATCGGATTTACCAGATTTAAGGGTCACCCGAGTGTCTGCTGTATGACTCAGCTCCATCAACATTCACATCAATTGCCATCTTTATAAAATTTCAGGACGTGGGGAGAAAGTTTTAAAAGCATGTGGGCAAGAACTATCTAAAAGTAGATTACAGGAGAGATCTTTCATGGCTGACCGGAAGCAGCAGGGCTTGAAGGACGATCAGAAGATAAGCACAGAGAAGCACAGGTACTCAGAAACGAGCGGCTAACAAAGACAGGAACACAAGGAAGGCAACTGGGAGGAGCAGCTTACCAGAGGAATTGCGGTATCAGCTATATCTAAAATAAGAAGTGGGGCCGTTCTTGATCTTGGCTGTGTTTACACCCCACTTCCACAATGCTCCATATTGCGAAACGATTTAAACCAGGAGGGAAGAAACCCCGGAGGGAAGAAACCATGTACAGCAGTGGTTGCTAAGATGCTGCTCCTAGCTCACTGGATATCCTGACACAGAGCTCAGCGCCCCAGTCAGACAAAAGCTGATGAGCTCTGTGAGCCCCAGGTACGGCTGGGTTTGTGGGCTGGTTAGAGATTTTGCGGAGTACAGATAGAGGCTTTGGTGCTGTGAGCAGAGAACTGAAGGGAAGTGGCTTAGCCCAGACTCCCAAACCCCTTTACTCACTGGGAGGCAAGAAAACAAATTACAGAAGGGGAACCAGCTCAAGCACCGGTGGACACATTTAACCTCCGGGTGTCAACCACTGAGAGCTGAGAACTGGAGCTCAGCTACCCACAACTGCTGTAATTCAAAGTTTCTCCACTGGAGAACGCACATGGAAGAACACATTAGTTGAATTCTGTCTGCAACATAAATAGGTCTGGCATGACACTTTACTTTTGTGTTTTTGTCGTATGTGGTTGTTCATGTTCTTCTTGCTTTGCTCTTCTTCATTTCTGTTGCAGGATATCCAGTGAGCGGTGAGCTCTCTGATGTTTGGGTGCACAGCAGGAGAATAACCCTTTTGGCCCCCCTCCAGTGTCTTTTCCCTCAGATCCTAACAGTCAGGACTGCTGCCAGACCCACGACTCACGGAGCTAGGGATCTCGCGATGTCTGATTCTGTGTCCCTAACCAAGTCAATGCCATATTTCTTTCTCCAGAAATTCTGCCTCTCTACTTCTATGTTTCTTTTATTTCACTCTTTTAATTACTTTATATAATTTATTTATACATGGGGTTTCCCATTTTTGGAGATAGGGAAGGGAATAAGATAATTAAATTAAGCAGTTAAAAAGATGTAACAATTACTTAAGAAAATAATTACAAATTATTTTATAAAAATTCAAAGAGAAATCCAGGACATATAAAGTTAAAGCAAAAGTAAGGACAGCTAGAATGCCCAGTGTGAGGAATGTGTCAGAACTATCAACAAGGTTGAAATAGCAGAACATGTGCTCAGTGATACCCAAAACACAAGACACCATGGACAATGGAATCAATGGCTGCTAAATGACTCAGAATAATCCACATGAGGAAAGATTAAAGATGACACAAAACCTATAAGAGTTTTATTCACCAAAATCATAGCGGAAAGTTTTTAAAACTAATGACAAAATTCAACATCCAGGTAAATAAGGTATATAGAACCCCAAATAGCCATGACCAGAGAGGAACCCCTAAATCATACATCATAGAAAGTATCAGAAATTCAGAAGAGAGAATACTTAAAGCTGTTAGAGAAGCACATCTAGCAACTTATAAGTTAAATTCTATAAGAATAATGGTAGATTTCTCAAGACAATTTCTAAAAAGCATTAGTGTCTATAGCAAAGTTTTTCAAGATCTAAAAGAAAACAACTTTTGACCCAGACCAGCGTGTCCTGCCAAATTCTTTTTCAAATATTATCTCCTTGATGGTCATTCAACTGAGCCACCAATCCTCTCTTGCTTTTGGACTCCGATTGGAACTTACATCGCTGACCCTTTTGGACTTCAGATATTGGGACATCTCAGCCTTAGTATAGTATGAATCAATTTCTTATGAAAATCTTCGTATATAATCACCCCTCACTGACAGTTAAGGGTTGGTGACAGAACTCCCATGTGTACCATCCACAGATATTTAGCCATCTTCTGCAGCAGGGCAGAGTATTTGCATATAAGCACATATACTTTCTCATATACTATTAATCATCTCTAGATTATTTATAGTACCACATGAAATGTAAATACTGTGTAAATATGTATTATAATATATCATTTATGGAATAATGAGAGGAGAAAAACAGCCTGCACATGTCTGTACAAACACGTTTTCCCAAATCTTTTCCATCTAAGGTTCTTTGAATTCATATATGTGGAGCACACAGATATGTAATGCTAACTCTATAGATACTTCTGTGTGTGTAGAGTGTATATATAATTAATTTTTTATAAGATTATAGGACCAAGTCATGAAAGAAGTGAAGAGTACACTTAGGAGTGAATGTGGATATGAAGGACAGAGCTTTGGTAGAGTCACTATGTTTGTCAGGGAAGCTAAAGCCCAGGTGCGTTAGAAGAAACCTGGACATGACACCATTAAACTGCTTATCAGATTAAATATTGACTTGGATTTCTTTTTATGTGTGAAATAAGATTTTGAAATAAGATTTTGTTTAAGTTAGTTATTTTCATTTTTATTACCTTTTCCACTCATAAATTACTTTTGTTAAGCTAATACATCCTTCAAAATAACATCATAAAACCTAGTGTACTGAAGTATTCAGGAGACATAATAGGAAAAAAGAGGTAATCTTAAGTCAGTGATGATTTAAAATAAGCCTTTTCCTCAAAAAGTGTTCTATATCTGTTTATAAATATATTTGTGTAATCTCATCATGAAATGAAGAAAACAACTGTTTCTATTTTTATATATAATATTCACCTTCAAAATCTCTCCAACTTTGTATATGGGCCAGTTTCCTTAACCATTATGTCTGGCTCCAAATTTTGCAAAGCATATGACAAGTAATCATCATGTGAAAACATTCACCGTGATGACTTGCACAAATTTAAAACTTTTGAATTGCACGATGGTTTAGACATTGAGACTTTACAAGTTTATTTATTGTATAGATACATGTTTTATCAATAATTACATAGTTTGGGGAATGGTATTCATGATTTTCAATCCGTCTTTTCCATCAACTTCAACCTTTCCCATTCTATTATTCCCTTAACTGCCTTCAAAAGGTCTGCCTTTCTTCTTCTAATCATCTCTCTTTTACTTCACTCTTTTAGTGACTTTACATAATTTCTTTATACTTTGGATTTCTGTATAAGTGGCACCACGTGACATTGAACCTCTGTGCTTGACTTTCTTCATGTAATTTTTTTATTACAGTTTTAAGACTTATCCATTTTTCTACAGATGACTTGAAGCCATTCTTCTTTATGGATAAGTAAAATTCCATAATGTGAATCTGTACAACACTTACTTTATTCTTTTCTTGGTGAACACCTATAAAATTTGAAAGGCAATATTTAAGGGTACAGTAGATGGCTTTCTCTCTGCAATGTGCTCTTGAATTGAGTAGGATTCACTGTGAAGGCACTCCTCCACCTAGTTCAAATACTGATTACAGTCCTTATCACTGCCTTACATGGAGAGAAAATTTTAACATTCAAAGAACCAGCTGTATATAAACACTACATTTAAAACTTATTTCAAATCTTTTCAGTAGCCCAGGAAAAACTATTAATGTAAATTAGTTCAATTCACCAATCCAAAGAAACAGATTGGCAGAATGTCTCAAGAAACAAGAACCAACAATATGTGTCATACAAGAAACATACTTACCTCAAAAAAATTGATAGACTGAAAGTCAAAGGATGGAAAACAATCCTCCATGTCACTTGATTCTGGGAAAAAAAGCAGGGATAACTATTCTATTTGCAAACAAAGTGGGTTTCAAGCCAAGACTCATCAGAAGAGAGAAAGAAAATCACTACATACTTGTTAAGGGAACAATCCAAGGAGACAAGATATCAATCATAAATATATTTTCACTAACCAGCTAATTCAACTATAAAACAAACATTAATGGATATGAAAAAATCAAATGAGCAGTAACACCATTGTTATGGGGGAACTCAACACCCAACTGTTACAAATAGATCAGCTACAAAATGTCAACCAAAAACTCAGAACTAAATGAAACCTTAGAACAAACAGACTTAGTAGATATCTGCAAAATATTCCATGCCAACAAAACAGAATACACGTTCTTCTCAGCTGCACATGGACTTTTTCCAAAAGAGACCATACACTAACTCATAAAACATGCTTTAAGTAAATACAAAAGAGTTCAAATTATCCCACTAATATTATCAGATCATAGGGCACTGAAATTGGAAATCAATGGCAAAAGAAAACAATAAAAACTGTAAACACATAGAAATTAAATAACACCCACCTAAACAACCAAAGGGTCACAGATAAAATTAAAGAAGAAATGAAATAGTTTCTACAATTGAACAATTATGTCAATACAACACATCAGAATTTGTGGGGTCAAATAAAATCACCCCTATGAGGGAAATTTAGAGCAGTGTCTATTCACATCAGAAAAACAGAGCAAACTCAAGTAAATAACGTAATGTTGAACCTCAAGATTCTAGAAAAAGAAGAACAAGGTAAACCCAAAGCTTGTACAGTGAAGGAACATATACAGATCAGAACAGAAATTAAAGCAATTGAGACTAAGAAAACAATACAAAAAATCAATAAAATTAAGAATTCATTCTTTGAAAGATTAAATAAAACATCTTATTTAACTGTATTAAAAGAAACTGTAAGAAAAGATTCAAATCCATGCAATTATGAATGAAAAGCGTGAAATCATTCTGCAAAACCAGAGAAAGATCTAACCAAAGAAGAGAACTATGGGCCAATCTCCTTAAAGAACATATATGCAAAAAACTTCAATAAGAGATCTGCAAAGAGAATGCAGCATATGATCAAGATTATACACCATGATCAAGTAAGACTTGTTCCAGAGATGCAGTGGTGATTCATCATACACAAATTAATTAAGTATGTTATACATCACATTAACAGAAGGCAAGACAAAAAGTACATGATCATCTCAGTGGATGCAGAAAAACATTTGACAAAGTCTAACACACTCATGATAAAAACCCTGCAGAAAATCAGAATAGAAAGTCTTTATCTCAATCCAATAGATAAGTTATGAAAATAAGTCATAAGTCATATGACAATAAGTCAATAAGC